TTCCATCAACATTTATAAATTATATTCAGTAAATTTGTATTCAAAATAAGTTTCTGTTTATTTAACTATCGATTACGAACACATATTGTAGTGTATTTTAATATAGGTATTGTTTAAACGGTATTACATAATTAGTTTTTAGCATTTGATTGATCAATATTATTGTGGGGCTTGTTTTACTCTTTTTTTAGTGTGCAGTCGGGTATTTTGTTTTTTTAATAATAATTTTTATGAGGTCGAATTTACTGGAATTGTGAGTTGTGTATAAAAATTATGACGTAATTGAATAAGTTATACCTACATCCAAAAATATAATTGAAGATATTAAAACATATAGTCATTGCTCATCTTCAATTTGTGGTTAACTGGTCGCAAGTTGGACTACTGAGTTCTTAAGCTTTGAGGTGTTGGCTTTTCAAAGTCAGTATTTATATACATAGCATAGATATATAATAAAATCGTAGAAAAGTGAAAACTGTACATCGAATATCTTTTTAAAAGAATGCTTTGGGCGTTATCTACAATCGATACCGAAACCGAACACATGGTTTTTAGAATTTTTGTCTGTTTGTCTGTATCTATTTCCGGGATAAACTCAAAAAGTGCTGCATGGATTTACTTCAAATTCTGTATGAATACTCACAGGTCGGGTCAACATATAGGCTACATATTATCATGCTATCAACTACGGGGGAGCAGCTCTGAATCACTATTCCACGCGGACGAAGTCTAGGGCTCAGCAAGTACAGAATATATGAAATAGAAATGGACCTTGAATCATACATAGAGTACACAGACATACTTATAAGAGTATTACATATTTTCATTATGAACTTAAGTTACAGGTCGAGTCTTCTTTCAAACCCTAAGAATAATATACTCCATGCAACCAAGCGAAAATTTCGAATACGGCAACCGCAATACGATTCTCTTTTATCTAGACAGCACTGATAAACGGTGAAGGAAAACATCGTGAGGAAACCTAGGCTTATAATTTTTTTTTATGGAATAGGAGGCAAACGAGCAGACGGATCACCTGATGGTAAGCGATCAGCGCCGCCCATGGACACCGCAACACCAAAGGAGTCACAGGTGCGTTGCCGACCCTTCAAAAAGGAATACGCTCTTTTCTTGAAGGTTTGAAAGTCGGTCAGTTCGGAAATACCGCCGACGACAGATCATTCCACAGTTTTCATACTATATATAACTTCTAAATATAAGTTTAACTCGTTGAGTACCGTAATTATAGACACAATTATAGAACAATAGGTTGCGGTCTCCAGTGTCCTCGCGGTGTTTGACAGTTTAAAATCGCCAACCCGCATTGACCAAGCGTGGTGATTAATGCTCAAACCTACTCCATGTGAGAAGAGGCCTTTGGTCAGCAGTGGCCACTTATAGGCTGTTCATGTGTGAACCTCAATACGATACAAATTCGCACCCAGAAATTCATATACATTCGCGTTATACAAAATTACGCATGTTACCATAAACATAACACAATTAAATCATCTTACTGATGATTATATGTATGAACCGGTTATAAGATGTCCGTCGTAGTGTTAGATAATGAAAAACCGGTTACAATATAAACATTAAGATGATTCCGACACGTTTTAATATAAACAGTTGTATATTTTAATTGCAATGTTGGAATCTAGTTCCAAGGACTAATTTGTTAATTTGTGCTGAATTCCTACTGTTAGAACTTGTAGTGAAGTTTCTTTGCTATGGGTGAGTGGGGATAAAATTTTATACTACGTACGGATACAATTTTATAACGTAAACTTGTTTGATACCAAAGTGACATATGCTGTATGGCTAGTGTCCATCTCTAAATGCAGAACAATATTAACAAAATGCAGTTTGTAACTAATCTATTAAATTATTTTTTTAATGAGTAACGAATGGAGTTTCTTGGTCATTCTCGTGACAGACTATTATTAATTTTGTATTTGTTGACGTTTCTACGTACCAAATAATGGTTTAATTGAAATAAATGCTTTGACTTTGAATGTAAAAAAATCCGTGAAAATATTTTTAAGGATTATTGGGGATTCGGAGATGGGGAAGGGGTTAATTGAGCCTCCGGTAACCTCACTCACACGACGAAACACAACGCAAGCGTTGTTTCACGTCGGTTTTCTGTGAGACCGTAGAATCACTCCGGTGGAGCCGGTCCATTCGTGCCGAAGTATGGCTGTGCCCACCTTAAAGTGTTGGGTTAGGTTTCCACTAACGTCACTAAAATGGCAAAACAACATTAGTGTTGTTGCACGCTGTTGCAAGCGTTGTTTTGTGCGAATCCATGGACTCCGGTCGAGTCAACTCATTCATGCCAAATTCACGTCGTGGTATCACACTTCATTGCACGACAGTAATGAAGTATTTTGGTTATAAAGCGAGTGCTTGTTTATCAAAGAATTGTACGTTACCTTTAGGGGGTCCAAACAAGACAACGTCCATCGCTTTGAGTGCAAGCTTCTGTTTGTGAATCGGATCTTTGATGCCCAGCACGTTGCTCAGGTACTGCATGTTGTTTACGGCCAATCTGTTGACAAAATTCATGATTTTTATTCAAAGATTCATGGTCTAATAAGGAAGTTTTGGGTACCTATTTGAGTTGTGTTCAAAGCTTAAATAGTCGGTTTTGAGATCAACTCACTACGAATACCACACAACTTGTGTATTTCTGATGATATGCATCATCAGTAAAAAACGGTCGAAACTGCATCACCGCCTTATTTACAGAGTTTCATACATTTGCATGAACGTAAATAAGCAATTGGATAAAATTCGATCTCTAACACTAACAGACTAAAAGAGCACTTTTGTAATATTGAAAAAACTATTGTTGGCTTGTAGCAGCACTTATAAGTACTCGAATTTTTCAAGAATTTTGACAATTAAGACAATTAATGGATGGCGTTGAACAATAATATAGCGAGTAAACAAAATTCAAATTCATTGGAAAATATAACATTTTGTGCTACATTACATAGGATTCGGGAAATAAATATAATTATAGTACCGATACCCGTGGAATATTCCTACATTTTTTGTTGCTAATTTCTGTTGTACTGATAATTAACAAGCGCTCTAAAGGTTGGAATAGATAAGGATACATAGAAATCGAAACTAATTCAAGTGTAGGAGAGTCATGCCTCGGCACGAATGGGCCGGCTCGACCGGAGTGCTACCACAGCCTCACAGAACACCGACGTGAAACAACACTTACGTTGTGTTTCGTCGTGTGAGTAAGGTTACAGAAGGCCCAGTTACCTCCCCAGTCTCCCCAATCCCCGAATCCCCAATAATCCTCAAATTCTTAATCCCCAAAAGGTCAAAAACGCACTTGTATTACCTCCGGTGTTTCGGACTATCCTCACCCCCTCTCCAATCTCCGAATCCCCTATAATCCTCAAATTTCTATTCCCCAAAAGGCCGGTAAAGCACTTTGGTGTTTCGGATGTCCATGGGCGTTTACCGGCTTATTCCATCTAAGTCCCTTTCATCTAAGCCTAGATAGAAAACAAGCAGTTAACACTACTTAATATACAAACAACAGTTTATAAATACCTCGGCAGGGTAGCGCCGGTAACTTTGTGTTGCAGGAACAAAGTCTTGTACTGGGGGAGGTCCACGGACTGAGACAGCCATTCCACCGTCTGCTCTACTGTCCAGTTGTGTACCTGGAATATTGAAGATAATAAGATAAGTTTAGTAAAAAGTTTCCGATTATATTAAGAACGAAGAGAAGTAGGCAATGTCGACCTTGAGTGACTTTGGATAAGGACACAAATAACTTTCTTGATAATATGTATGCTTTTGTTTACTCCTTTTAAAAATGATGGGCGTGAGGTTATATTGTTTATTAACTGTTGTTATCGAGATTCTAACGACAATAATATTTTATTTGTTATAACCGACTCTACTCATACCAGTGAACAATTGGATTTTTTTAAACGTTGCCCCACACTAGGATTTTCTCCTGTGTCGTGGGTGCGTTTACAAACACATCATTTCACATACACATGCCACCCAAACCAGAAACTATAATTCAGTAGATCACACGGTCGCAAGCCCAGCAACCACGCCAACCGTCTAGTCAATTTAGAGTTCAAGGTCATAATAAATATTCAGTCCGATTCCTAACACTGACTAACAAATTTTAAAGGTCCAGGAACAAAACTATGATCATATTTATTTCTAGAACGTTCTAGAATAATCTACTGACCTCAGATCGTAGCCACGCCTCCCATAGCTCCTTGACGGAGATGTGCATATCATCATTGTGGTGGAACGCCCTCTGCCGCTTCTCATACCCGCTGTCGTACTGCAACTCCTCGCGAAGAAACTGTAATAACAACATTCAGGTTATATAAAATTATTCTAATCAATATGACCGAAATTCTAGACTTAGATGAAAAAATTAATTGAGCAGGTATTTAGTAATGTCTTCCATATGAATTGGTATCGATATAGGTTTATAAGATAACTAGCGACCCGCCCCGGCTTCGCACGGGTGCAATATGCATGTATTATGCATACAAAACCTTCTTTAAAAATCACTCTATCTATTAAAAAAAATCGCATCAAAATCCGTTGCGTAGTTTTGAAGATCTTAGCATACATAGGGACAGACAGACGACGGATAGCGACTTTGCTTTATACTATGTACTGATTTCCATAAATATTTGGCTCCAGGTAAATTATCTGACTATACTATGGCACAGCAAAGCACTCCTACAATGACCTAATCTTCTTTCTCCTGATCTACTTCCAAATAATTGGTATTGTGTTTGAACCAAATCCTATTAAATACTGGTATTATAGGTATATGAGGCGACTGTCATCTATTGCCATTGCTCAGAGCAATTCGGGGTTTTTTATAGGTTTTATATAGTAGAAATCTTAGTTAAATCGATTTATTATTGGCTGTTCGGCCATCCTCCTATCATCTCCAAGATAAATCAATCAATAAAACGCTCTATTTAAATTCGATACTCCAGGTGCAATATATAAATAACCGAAACGGTTCATGATCAAACCAGGTTCCTATAATTAAATACATAAAAATAACTGCACGTACGTATAAGTCACCAATTTAGCTCGCTCGTGTGTAAAGAAAAATTCTATTGAGTATATATAAATAACAGTGTTGTGAGAAGACCTTGACATCGCTTTATTTCTTATTCATATCATGAAAGCCATGAACGAGGACTTATGTCCTATGATTTCCATTATGGTAGCCAAACTCATGAGTCTAGCTACCATAATGGATCTGGAATAAAATCCATGGATTTTTAACATAAAGTTATTAAGTACTAAAAATGTAACATCCTTTTTTGTCCAGATATTAATTTTCTGTCATAGAAGTGAGTCATTACATTTGGCAGTAACGCCTAAAGGGTAACAATTTGGGGTGACATGATGAGTTGGCTTCTGTAACTACTATAGGTACGGGTCAAGGTCAACTCCACACTTACAGAAAGAAGTCAAGGTCAGTATTAACGGCGTCACAAACTTTGAGACTTAAGATTAAAAGACCGTTGAAATGTCATGATATTTTTATTGGCAAAACCATTAGCCATTAATGCCTGACCGACCTCGAACTCTAAACTCTTCTTTTAGGCAATTTTACCAAATACTCGGTGGACAAATGGCAAAAGAAGGAAGGTTATTTGGAGGATGTCAAATGGCTCTTGAAAGGTTTTATATCAGGTCAGCCTAATTAAGTTAGACAGCAAATCGTCATACAGAGAATATTAAACAAGGGCGTATCCTTCGCCTGTTGACATGAAACCAGGTAAAACTGGAAAATTTTCCGTATTTCGTGTTTCTAACGATAAGCAGATTTCGGTTTTAGAGGTAAACAAATACTCAGACGGTTTCCGTTAATCCAAATTAGATACAAATTAACGATGTTCGAAAACAACATGTTTTATTTTTCTGTGGATACTGTTTTCTCTGCGATTTTCCCGGAGGTTTTGTTTATTTGAATGTCCAAATCAATTTAAGGGTCAGTTTACACCTAGAACCAACTATTAAGTGGTCTGTGATGTAACGATGAGCATTGAGCGTACACGTCAAAAGAGATGACCCTAAATTGTTGTACCTAAAACACGTTTAGCGGTATTAAAGATGAGCGATAATCTTTCCCCGGTCTTAGAATGGCAATTATGGGCAGCATGGATCTTAATAATCAATACCATATTGAACATATTCCTTTGTGATAATTTTACATACTGTGTAATTTTTTCTGGTGATCGCCAAACAAAGACAGAATATTGACTTGATTGAAGGGATCACAAACCACAATTACAGACGAGTGGACAATAGGCATTCTTTGCCGACACGTGCAGTGTTATAAGTAGCTAAAGACGTGAAGGAAACCAAATAAGTGTAATGGAGAATCATACATTTCAGCACTATAATAATATGGCTTCTTTTAACTCCCGTGACACCTCTTACTTCATAAATGTGCAGATCTTTGAAAAAATAATGGATCTGCCCGAATATTGGATCTTGTAATCATGACTCAGTCTTATCGCTATCCATTACATTACATAGCTTCTTCTTATAGCAGATTTTTTTATATTCTAATGGTCTGCTGCCAGAACAACAGCGAGTCTTTGGAAATTTGGTCTTTGTAGACAGAATATATAACATTTTTAGCCCTTTACGACCTTTCCTAACTTGAAGGGCAACAGATGATTTGAGTTTTGAAAATATGATAGACATTAGAACTCACATCGTCACTCTCGCTGAGGTCAACGTTCCCGTTGGCATCGTCATCAAGCTGCCTGTGTAGCTGCGTGATGGCTTCGAGGCCAGCCTTGTCCTGAAGACACGCGGGCTCATTGTGGCACGCCTCGAACAATACTGAAAACAAAAACAAGTACTCATGTTAGTACAGACTTAGATTTACTATCTATTGACATTGAAACTTAAGTGAGTAGTAAGAATTTTGAATGATGATACAATCATTTATTTTTAGCGAAATTGGACTTTGAGAAAGGTGAAGTACCTACCTACTTAATCATTTTATTTGAGTATCACTTTAGTATCTATTATAATGAACTGTGCATGGATATAAAGTCTAAAAATGTTGTCGTCGTCCACAAAGCCATATTACAGTATTCTACATAACAAACAACAGTCACAGAAGAAACTGAATGTTTTGCTGAACAAAGTTAAAGTTCAATAATTACTAACTGCCTAATATCTAAACGAAATATTTCCTGTTTACTCAGTACTAGATCTAGCTACTGACCGCGATACTCACACAACTCCCACGCATAGATTGGAACGTTAATCGAGATAGGGATAAATTAATAAACCTACAATATCCGCATTCATATCGTTAGACGTTAGGTAACATAGGTACATGTTATTTTTATCATACTCGTGTTAAAACAAAAATATTGGGATTCATTACTGCCTTCTGTAATGGAAAAGAAAACATTGCCTTCAAAATGCTGGAAATTCCATATTGACACTTGTGCAAAATACGTTTGTTTTTGGTCTCCGGTTTCGCGCATATTTTGGGTTTTTAACCTTAAAATGGCGATCAGAAGTTTATGAATAATTAGGTAAGGAAACATAAATAATTAAATGTAATAAAGTCATTGGGTCCTATGAAGTTGAATCATTATTGATAATGCTACATCAGTATTAACTACTTAAAACAAAACGCAATATTTTAGGTGATTTACATTACCTATTCCTTAATGAGAACAAGGAAAATAATGGAAAGTCCAAAGTGCTATCCTTGTTACATATTATAATTATCGATTTTATTGTTCCCTGCTGAGATTCTTAGTCATTACATTAAGGGCCGATTTTACAATTCATCAGTTAATTCTTTCGCATGGCATCGTTGGCATTCGAGGCTCCAGTACTAATTCTTTTTTTTTTCTTCTTTGGCAACCGAGTCTCCAAAACGGTGTTGTCGACTATACTGCCAGTGTCGAGTGAACTAATTCTTAATTGTAGAATAAAATTGACGTTTGACAGTTTTTAGTATGGAAGAATTGTCAAATATTTAAAGTTATTCCCCAGTTAAAATTTATCTGGAGTTGGAATAATCGGTGCTAACTCAATAACAAAAAATTTTGCAGACGTTTCCAGATATTGATATTTTTTTTCAATCTATTTTCGGAAACTTCCATTTGTTTTATCGCAGTCTAAATTATCGCCGACATTTATCAGCCATAAATACATGTAATGTTTTGTATATATAAACAAATCAAATAGTTAACCACGATAAATATTCGGGTTAATTGAAAATGTGATTAATAAAATATGAATTTGATTAAGTTTTTAGGAAAACATGAGATAAAAGGAGCCGTTGATGTGTTTGATAATCACAGAAACTATTATGATAGGGCCTATTAGCAGATCAAAAAGAGGACAAATATCAAATAGATCAAGATGATTAGTTACTATATTCGTCACTTAGAACTTAATATATCTTAAAGGTTATGATGATGGCAGGATATCAGGTCGAAAAAAGATTAAATTCTAAAAGTGTTTAATAAAATAATCAAGGCAAGGTTCTTTACTAGAAAACCTTGTCCTAACCACAAAAAAGACTGTTAACATTAATATTAAAGTAACAATAGTCCATTACCATCATCACATAATAAAGAGGCTACCTAACCAGAGATTTCAGTTAATCAGAATTCGCAGAAGGATGAAGTGATTAAAAAATAATTTGTACATTAATTTTTGATTATACAGTGGAATTAAGTGCCGTAATATGCACTTCTGCTTACCCCGTCGTAGACAAAAGTTTTTGATAAAGAAACTGAATAGGTAAACTTATAAAGAATAATTCGTTTGGTAATCCTATGCAAATAAAGAGTATTAGATGGTTTAATTACAAACTACATAGTTAATTTTATACACAACTATAGTGTGCAACGATAACACCAATAACTACATTAAAACCAGCTCTGTGAATAATTTCAGATCAGGGTACCTATGTATGTAGGTACGTATTTGTTCGGTTGGTTTGCGCCGGCGACAATCGACATCGACACAATCAAAATACACGTCATTATAAACGCATTAGGCAATATTTTTTCGTTGATCACTCTAATCGTCAACCGTCGTTTGTGTCAACGTTTTATGCCGGATATTAAGCCTCCATTTTATTGGCCAATCCTCTTCAATAACCAAAGTTTTAATAGAACTTTAAATCTTTGCATAACGAAACTACTAACTACTAATAGTGAAAATCAAACGAATTGTCATTGAATCATTAATCTATCAATTATTTATTAAAATTACGTAGCTAGTATACTTGGTGAGTATTAAAGGCTCGTCAAAGCATGCCTTAATCGCGAGACGATTTCCTCCAGCCACAGCACAGACCTGCGGACGGCGACTACGGGTGTCTCGCCGTCCAACCAGAACTAGACCCAAGCGTACGGCGCGTCGCGTTTCACGCGCGCCTCATAGAGCTATCAGACCACTACAAATGGGGCCCCACTAAAGCTGATGCCTATACGGAGACGCGGAGGATTTAACGGGTTGCCGGGTCTCCGGCACGAAGTGAAAAAAAAAAAAAACCACTCAAGTGTAACTTTTACATGCTTCTAGTTACTTAATTAAGATTTTGAGAACCACGGGAAATAACCGAACAAACATTTGTATGAACCACAGACAGTGCTTCTTATAATAAAATTCTAAGTACTACTAATCCGAGATTTGCTTAAGTAAACGCAGCTACCTATTGCACACAAAGGCAGTTTCTTTAAAAAACCCGTGTAGGTATATAATCCATTCTTTATTTTGCGGTAATTACAAGAAGCCAGTGTGTTTAAATATTTCCGTTTTTATCAGTCAATAGAGCTTGCGTTTATTTAATTATCTAGAAGCCTGCCAGGGTCAGCAACGAAATGGCTTCATCGTCACCGTAGGAAGGTGATAAAACACGTACCGTGATCAATGTTAATTTATAAAACAATGTGGTAGAGGAGTCTTTATTAAAATTGTATAGTTAATCAGTTTTATTTAATGTGCATCAACGCCTATCGGAATAGGCAATTAAAGCGCACGCAAAAAATACGCATTCAAAGAAACTACGGCCAAATAATCACCAAACCGGTATCTTTACAACACATAAAATATCATCCGCCATTAATAGGAGTGATTTTACATAATTTAGTTGGATTGGAGTCATAATCGTCATTATCGACATCAATAAAGATACAGCCCACGTGGGCCGAGGCTAAGAATAGTTCAGCCGGCTTGTGATCACGAGTGCTATAACGTAACAACTTATGCTATCGTAACGTAAATAAATTGGACTAAGCCAGTAGGCCGGGACACCAACGAAATGGGTGAATGGGGCTTCATAATGACATAATTTTATAGCTATTTGTTTTATCCTACTAACCTATAAATTCGAAAGAAGATGAAGATGTAGGAATGTATACTAATCTTTCACGTAAAAATTACTAAACGAATCTGGGTGTAATTTGGCATGAAAATATATTTTCGGCTGGAATGATAATAAAAATAAATAGGCAAACTATTAGGATAAAGTCAAGCCATCGAAGACACAAAAGAAAGATAAGTAAAAGAAATCAAAGATAGTGTGAAAAGGAATGGGAATATTGATCTGGGATAAACACCTTTTCTATTATTATTTATTTAATAAATTAAAATAACTAATTATAAACTAACAATGATAAGTGAAGACGCGAATAACTACTAACAAATGAAGGTTCGTTAAACCAGGAAAGCATAGTCAGGCATCTAAAATCAATTTTATTTGCGGTTTGTTTAGGTAGAGGAAATTCGGTTTTTATTGAAATTGGACACAGCTTGACTCGTAAACGTTATTATTTGATACGCCACATAAGCACATAGCCTGGTTCTATGTTGTCATCGCCTACCTATTTAGGTAGTCAAATATTTGATTGGCACACGAAGACCAACAATACTCTAAAGTTATTAGTTGTCGCGGAGAACCTAACGAGTAACCGGGGCTCCGACTCGACGTGCAGGAGAAGGAACGGGGTGGTTTTTAGTCAGTAAGAGTCTGACACTCCCTCCCGCCTCACCCAGGCGGGAGCAGTCATTCGATGATTTTCCCCCCTTAAAAAAAAAAGTCATTAGTTACTGAAAATTTGTTTTAATGTGTTTTATTCCCAATGGAATCACAGGAACCCTTTCAACATAAGGTATTAAAATCATAGAAAACTGCAGCATAATCTAAACAGCACATCTTTAAGGTCTACATACAACACTCAAGCAATGAAATCCGGCGTGTCCTGGGGACTTGAACTAACTACTGTCTAGTATCCTGTGGCGAAACTCATGGAAAAATTTGATAGCCAAAGGAAGAGGAATTAATTTCCACTTACCTACTAGAATTTTTTAATAGCTAGGCCTTGTGACGAAAGGCAAACTTTATGATAAATAAAAAAACTACCTACCATAACATAAACGGCGCCAAGCCCAATATTATTGCTAATAGTTACTTAAAGTAACTACCTAATTATTTTTATTACATTACGTCACACACATTTAACGAACACGGGACAACAATATGTATAGCCGTAGAACGTAACATTAGCACTATAGAAACTCCGGTAGCAATTACAATGTTGTTAACCGTTAACGATGAGTTTAAGTATGAGATGGAAGTAGCTAAACAAACTAACAGTATCTTTGAGATCAGTTAAAGATGATTTAGAGGCTATTACTAACTAACTAGTCAGTTACTTATGGTTAAGGTACAAGATGGTTGTTGTAACTAGGAACCTATTTACGTGTTTAGGTATATGATTCAACGGTCGCGAGACGATCTGCGGTCACCGTAAGCATGGGCTTGGGCACGGCGGCCATTCGACCAGAACCTGACCTGA